GTTCATCCCCCCCCCCCCCCCCGACTTGTCTTCACTGACCAACCATGATAGCCTTTCATTTAAGTGTTTATGCTCCAGTAGCCTAATAGAAATAATTTAGTATTTAAGGTATTTAGAGATAAGAAAAGGCATTTTGTCATCATGGATGGTTGGCTAGTAGTCCACCGAAAAGTTTAAGAACTACTAGTATAAGGTGATGTACGTTGCATCACCACCATGTTATAAAGGGAACTTAGTGTAAATGAGAATGTGGCTTTTAGTTTCAATACTTTCAGGCATTGTAACACAAAGCTGTTAAAGTCTAAAATTCCTTCTACATATATTGGCAAATAATAGCTGAGAAGAAATAGTATTTGAAATACGCACATATCAGAGGACTAGTAGGCTAAGTACACTGAAAGAAACCGTAATTTCTTGTACACTGAAAGAAATAGTATTTTGTTTACTATTTCATATTTTAAATTATTTGTGAATGTCCCAGACTGTCTACAACAGGGCTGCTCAACACGTGACCTGCAGGCCACCTGTTTATTTGCAGCCTGTGGTGTGGTTTGGGTTTACCCAGGGCTCAACATGTGGCCCATGGATGGGATCTTTCGAACATGGCCTCCACTGGGAACACACTCCACAATGGCGAGGCATCTCCCAGGCGGGGTGAGCACTGAAAGACACAAGCGGACGGGCTGGCTGGAACAGATGGGTACAGGGTGTCAGTGTTTCCAGCCCCCAGGGAGGAGGTGCGGGGAGCGCCGGGGCATTGTGGGAAGTGCTTTGTATTCATGCCTGTCAGTGTGAAAGAAGCTATGTATAAATACAGAAGCTATTTGCATGTATATTTAAATGTATATGCAACCACACTTAAGATGTGGCCCGTGGCATGTGCTGTGAGTGTCATTTGGGGCCCCTGGGCTTCCAAAGTTGAGTAGTCCTGTTCTACAATAGTAATTTGGTGTATCGAACTTCTGTAGTTTTTAGAGCCATGAAGTGGTCTTAATATGTGAAACCAATCAAGCACAATACAGATTAGAGGCATTTTCCATTCTCCACCTGAAACACATGAGCATCTGTTAATGAAATGAATTAAATACACTTACCTTCCACTTGTCAGGATGCTGAGTAATCTTGTGTATCTTGAAGTTAGGTAAATTAATCTGCAGATAGTCAGCCAGAAGTTCTGCCTTAGCAAAGTATGGACAGTCTGCCTTTCCTGGACATAGGGGAATTAGCATAATTCTAAGAATGTATTAGTCTGATTGATGAAAGCTTCATAAGATACACATTTAGAAAAACAAGACATTCTGATCTAAAAGAAGGAAGAAGAAAGGGGACATTACAGGGCCAGATTTCTGTAGGCTCAGGGATCCCATAAAGCAAGTGTAATGACAAAGATGTAGTCTACTGTCATTATCTCATTTAAAATCTTACTGTGCCACCACAGAAAAAAATATGTAATATCCAAATGAAACCAAGCTGAGAGTTGTATGATTTAAACACCTCACACTGCTGCTACACTAGACACCGCATAATTAAAAATACAGCCAGAACATACCTGGCATTTCATTTGAAAAAAAGAATATATCCGGAATAAAATAATAAAAAATACTAATATACTACAGCTGAGAGAAATCAAACACAATAATATGAATGAAGACAAGGTCTGATAGTAGATGACAGATCAGACATATTTGCAACATAATGAAACACCAAATAAATGCAAATACAAAATATATGTGCAGATAAACAGGACAGTTATTAAGCTACGTCTACGCTACTAGTTTTCTTCGCAAAAAATATGCAAATTAGGGACTCATTTGCATGAGTCATGATCTCATTTGCATATTTTCTGCCGATCCGTTTTTGCGCTGGGGTTTTTGCACAAAAACAAGCAGTGTGGACGTTTTCTTTTTGCACAAAAACCCCTTTTTCCGCAAGATCCGTAAACCTTTTTGGGGGCATAAGGATCTTGTGGTAAAAGGGGGTTTTGTGCAAAAGGAAAACATCCACACTGCTTGTTTTTGTGCATATTTTTCATTTGCATATTTTTGGCTGAGAAAACTCGTAGTGTAGACGTAACCTTAGAGAGCCTATCAATGTTGCATTCATGTGACTACTGTGGAATCATTCATGTGATTCACTGTTAGAATATTAAGACCTGCAATGTGTGTGCTGAAGGGCAACATTTAGCCTGAGTGTAAGGGAAATCCTTCCAGCACTGAGATGTATGAAGCTCTCAAATAGAGCAGAGGAGGCCTCAACACTACAGCCAAGCTAGGCAAAACACCAGAGAACTGAAACAAGCCTACATGTGCCCTGAAGGACACAAACTGAGGGAGAATGAAGCTTCCCCCAAATCCCCTCCCTATCCCTACCTCTCTCTGTTCCCTCTAACTAAACCAGTAAGAACCCTTCCTCTGTCCCCTCTAACTGCCATATATCCTTCCCTACCTCCTCTGACTTCCCCATACCCTCTCCCCCTCACTGCCCCATACCCTCTCCCCCTCCTCTGACTGCCCCATCCCCTCTCCCCACCTCCTCTGACTGCCCCATCCCCTCTCCCCACCTCCTCTGACTGCCCCATTTTATTATCATGGATGGATGGATGGTGGTCCACGGAAAGGTCTGTGTTGAGCGAAGGGCAGGTCGCTGACCAAAAAGTTTGAGAACCACTGTCTTAAGGAAAACAGAAAGATCTTGTGGAGAGGCATTTCCAAGAGAGGACTGTGTCAGGAAAGTGAGTAGGGAGCCTAAAAGGTTATCGCTCAAGGGAGTTATCTCCTACCAGAATGAGGAGCCTGTAAGAGATGTTTCTAGAGCTGGATTCTCCTACATGAAGGGCCACATTTGACAGGCCTCAGAGAGTAACTTGTCCTAGCCATGAGGGGTCCCAGGACAGACTTAGGGTTCAAAGTTTTATTTATGTTCTGGGTTGGCATTTTTGATAATGTTCATAAAGGAGACCGTGTGTTTTTTAGCACCTGCTATGTGGACTTGTTCATCTGATCTCCTTTTTTGAGAAAGTAACAGATTTTTTAGATAAAGGAAATGCAGTGGATCTAATCTACCTCGACTTTAGTAAGGCATTTGATACAGTACCACATGGGGAATTATTGGTTAAATTGGAAAAGATAGGGATTAAT